TCAGACATCTCTGGGTGGGGGTAGAGGCAGTGTTGTAATTATATACAACCTAGTTTCCAAAGAATTTGGGACGTTGTGTAAAATGTAAACAAAAACAGAATGCAATGATTTGCAAATCATATAAACCCATGTTTAATTGACAAAAAAATAAAGACAACATATCAAATGTTGAAACTGGGAAGTGCTATTGTTTTATGACAAATATATGTTCAGTTTGAGTATTGTTTTTATTAATATTCTACGCAGAATCCCAGCAGAAACAGGGTTGTACATTGGACTCAACCGACATGTATCTGCAGAGTGATTTTAATAATACATCTTACCATTCATGCAACTTCTAAGCACTTCTACTGGTCAAGCCTTGAACTGATTGTTACTGAAGTTACTGAGGTGTTACCTATGCAGTCAGGGCCGCACAAAGGCATGGTTGTCCCCGTCTTGTGTGCCTATTATATTTCCTTTATATGTCAAGTAAAGTAAGTAGTATTTATTTATATAGTATACAGACGCTCCTCTACTTACGAATGAGATACGTTCCGAATGGCCGTTCGTAATTTGAATTATTTGTATGTCGTTATTCATATACATATACGTATATCATTTTAAGGGTATACACAAGTACTAAGAACTAGGATGCTGGGAGTACGCACGCTACGCTGCTGCGCGGCGGGAGTAGCGGCCAGAAGTCGTACTAGGCGGAACTGGCGCACAGAAAAAAAAAATTGATGTTGCGGACAGGAAACGGGAGCCCAGTGAACGTAATTTCGACTTACAGTCCTCTTCGTTCGTATGTCTGAAAGTTCGTAAATTGAAAGTTCGTAAGTAGAGGAGCGTCTGTATTTAAAATAAGCCCGAGCTGACCAAAGTATATCATTTGACAAAAAAAGTCTGATTCCCGTAAGGTTTCAACTGGTTTCAGGGGCACTTACTCTTCTGACAGGGAGAAATGGGGCAAGGCGCCCATGGAGCTGAGCTGCTCCTCCAAGGCCACGATGCGTAGCCCGATGTACCCCGAAGACAGCAGGAGTAGCACCACCCTGTGGGCGTGAGCAGAAGTGCTCCAGTCAGGCCAGACACACTCTGCATGTTCACTTTTCAGGTAACCAAACCCATCAGACAAACACAAACAATCCTCCCTGCCACAGTCCAACTCCTCCCGCTTCAGAACAATCCGGAAAATCAACATACTTATACGGACAATCTAGAAAGAAATCATCTCTAGAACTATTTCCAGTACATACAAAAAAGTATGTACAATATCATTCAACACATCTGTCTTTAGGTTTTAGCCCTTGTTTTCATTTCATGTACGTTGAATTGAGTTTAGTAAATTTACAATAACTGCATAACAGGATCACGTGTGGTAATACCTGATACTACCCGCATATAACTGGTAACTGTTGTTGGGTAGCATCATTAATAATCATGAGTGTTGCATTTTTCTTTGTGGGACCTTGCTTTTGGGGTTGACCAGTGAAAGTCGATAATGACAGTCCATAACCAAGGAAGCAGAGTAAATGACACTCACAGAATGAGGTAGATGAAGACGAGGACATTGAAGTTATTGGTCTCTCTCTGGACTAGAGCAGATTTTACCCTCTCAGTCATGGTCCAAACCCAGGAATTACCTGTCCAGGGAGGAATGTTAGAATCTATTAGTACCTTATTACACCAGTTACTGTTAGTAACCTCATAAGACAGGTATTTATTTGGTGGTTTTGTAAAATACTTGCAGCCGTAAAAGTCATTCTTAATAAACAATTTGCAATTCTGAACCAAAGCAGCTACCCAAGTTTCAGTTTGCTTCCTGCCAATCACATAACCTTCATGAATTATTTTGTTTTCATAAACAGCTGCTTTGGTGTAGACAATAGGTTTACTCAGAAATGATTTGCAAGAGCTTTATTTACGCAACTGACAAAACTGGACTAATTTTTTTTAATTTGGTGTCACAGGTTTGCACCATCCCTCATTACTCAGACATTAATATTAAATGTGAAGTCTGACACTTAGTCTTGTTTGTATTCTGTGAGTATCTGGTGTTTCCATCTCTATAGTATAGCAAAGTATAGCAACACATTTGCTATAGCAACAGCACTACAAGCACATTGCATGGGTATTGTTTTGTGCGTGTTATTTGTGTACTATATTCTTTGCCTGAATGTTAGAGTAGCATAAGTTGTGTGTATGTGAGTGTTGGATGCCGTTTTTCTTCTACTCCTGAAAACCTGAGCTTGACTGTGCATTTGAAGGCACTTTCACTGTTCTTGCCTCTTTTCAAAGCTTCCGCGTTTTGTCATCATTTTGACAGAAAATATTCCAGAACTTAGCCTTTCTTACCATATTATGCCCTGTTTTTTTAGTTCAGCCGGAGAAGATAGACTAGTTTCACAGGAAGTGCATGGGAAATTCCCACAAGTAAAGCAGTACTGTGTCCACATGCATGTGTGCATGCTATGTACCTCTGCTGTCATCTGACGAGCTCACTTCCTGCTCCCGGCTGCTTTCGCTCCCATCTGACACCGTGTCTGAGGATGGAACCAAAACCATTACATGACAACAGTGCCGTGCGATTCCTGTCACAGAACACCTGACAGTGGAGACCAAGAAGGGAACATGGTCACTTATGTATCTGCATGCAGACCCACAGATTAACTACACAACAAATGCAAAGTGTTTTTAAAATGCTTTTTAAAGGAATCTATCATCTTTCACCACAGATTCTAGGGTGGTGTTTAAACATAAATAAAAATATAGTAAAAATATAGTTGCTCTCAAATTCATCCAGCAAGCACTGAAAATGAATATTATACATAAAACATAATTGTATATAGAAGCACTTTCTTTTTATTATTTTTCTGACATTATTTTTAGTTTTAAAATTTAACGGTAAATGCTATTCATCCAATTTTGCAAATGTGGGATTCCTTGAAAGTAGATCAAAATCATATTAAAAAATCCATCAAATCTAAATGTCTTAATCATTATTATTGTCATTGCTATTCCCCACAACCCTGTACTGTATAAGCTATTAGAAAATAGATTGATGGTTTTTCTTGGTGCTTTTGCTTCTGGGCGTGAGATGAGGCTGTATGTTTTGTGTGTGTTTTCATGTTGACTAGCAACTATCACATCCCTGAACTTCACCCAGGGATGCCAAGTTTGGTCAGCTGGCTGGAGTCTGAGACAAGTCTGCACACACATGTATATGTACTGTATGTAACAGGCTTATTACCGTGTAAATAGTCTAGTGGGTGGGCAAATGGCAACACTTTTGTAATGGAATAATATAGATTTCTTGTACGGTTTTGTGCGTGAGAGTCTGAAAACGTGAGTGTCATGCCAGGTGTGTGACAGTTGGCAAATGCTGCTTTACCACTGACTCACCTCTGTCCAATCTGGTCAACCCCTGTTGGGAACTGGAGTTTTCCTCTTCCACAGGGAAAATATTGTCTTCTACTCCAGACAGACTGAGGGGCTGTGGAACACGTAGTGGGAGCCCATCAGTAGGTGAAATATCATTCATCTTCAATGGCTGCTAAAGTGCTATAAAAAATAAATAAAAACATTGACGGACACGGGCTGGCTTACCCCATCCCGGATGCTGTCAATGCTGTTCTCTGCAGACGACACCTGTGGGCTGTTGCTGTTACTCCCAGTCTACAGACCAAAAGAGACAAGGATGCTAGTGACCCATGATCAGAACAAACCAATGTCACAGAGACTGGGATACTAATGACCAGTGACTATAACAGCCTGTTGCTAAGTCACAGAAACTAGGATGCTAATGACCCGTGACAGTAACAGCCTGTTGCTAAGTCACAGAAACTAGGATGCTAATGACCAGTGACTATAACAGCCTGTTGCTAAGTCACAGAAACTAGGATGCTAATGACCCGTGACAGTAACAGCCTGTTGCTAAGTCACAGAGACTGGGATACTAGTGACCCGTGACAGTAACAGTCTGTTGCTAACTCATAAAGAGCAAAGACTGGATGCTAGTAACCTGTGATTAGTAGCCTGTTGCTAACTCACGGTGAGCAAAGACTGGAATACTTGTAACCTGTGATTATTAGCCCGTTGCTAAGTCACAGAGAGCAAAGAGTGAGATACTAGACCTGGCAGGGTAGCAAACTTTGGTCAGCTGGCTTGAGTGAGTTTTTCAATTCGAGACTAGTCTGCATTTACACTTATATGTATATAAGATTTTTATTACCTTGTAAATAGTCTGTAGGGTTTGAAAACTACCCAGATGCTTTTGGTGTTGCTAATTTTAGGTTTATAATAGAATAATATACATTTGCTATAAGATTCCTTGTGTTAGCATGAGAGTCTAAAAGCGCGAATGTTTTGCCAGATGCATGAGCGTTGGCAACTCTGAACCTGTAATTATTAGCTTGCTGCTAATAACCTGTAATTATTAGCCTGTTGCTAACTAAGTGAGAAGAGGGCCTGAGATGCTAGTTATTTTGGTGGGTTAATGCTCTGTCAAAGCAGTACACACCTCCAAATGAAGACACACAGAGCAGACCAGCTTGTAGCAGGATTCCCGGTTCCGCAGAGACACAAACAAGTACTGAGAATCACAAAGACAACAGGATTCAGTCAGCCATCAGTTTGTAGCATGTATCTAACATGAGTTCTGTAACTGTTACTTATGCTAGCACTCAATCTATTATGAGTCATCAGAATGGCCACAAAAACAGTCATTATTGCTATATTGTTCAGAGGGATTTGCTGTCGTATAAACAGAGACCTTCTCGCCATCCATGGTTCGAATGGACAAAGCGTTCGGCAACAGCAGAGCCGTGTTCTGCTTCTTCACACTCCCCACTGCAGCCACCGGAACCACCACCTTCGATTAATTAACGTGACAGACAATTCAGGAATTTAGGCGACTGGATGTCAAGGCTGGATATCTGGATTTTGCTCTGTCCATGATCAGATGACTGGATTACAACAAGTCAGAGTTCAAGGTTCTACCTTGGTGTCCTTGAGCAGCACTGATGAGTGGAAACACACATGGTTCTCAGACACATAGAGCTTGCCATGGTAGAGAACCTCCTTCAGTAGGGCACAGGTGAAGGCTGAACAAAATAAAAAGGCCAGCATTGTGTTTGCCATCAGAAAGCACATCGTAGCTGCTGCCCTTTGCACCTGACTATCACAGTCTGGGTTTAAGCTGTTCTATTTTAAGCCTTTGCGTGGTGGATGGAAAAACAGTGGCCTGTCGGTGGTCAGCTCACCTTGAATCAGGTTTTCATTTTCAGAGATGTCTCGAAACAGCTTGTGGAATGTTTTGCTGTGCTTTGTGATACTCTGTGAACAGAAAATGAAACATATGAATGAAGTTTGCACCAGGGCAGAGTTTTCAAATTAGAGGTACCACCTTCCCTTGAAATACAGCAGTGATAAGCAGGTGGCAACGTGTCAAAATTGTGACAATATTGTTCTTTATGAAGAGCCGGCTGTTAATCATTTAGTAGCAATTTAAACTGACATACATTGCGAGTGGAAGAACCGTCTGGCTTCTCATTGTGTGAGTCTGACTCCACTGTCAGAGACCTGTAGTAAGACAACACAGGTGTCTGCCGTAAAGACTACGTTTCACATCATTTGGACCATTTTTTATTCAAAATAAAAGAAAATGGAAGAAAAAGGAAAAGACGTAGAGGTGGAAATTTCAGGTCCAGAGAACAAAAATCCAGACCAAGATTTTGTGTCAACCAAGCAATTGAGTACTATGTGATTGTGACTCTTTCTACCTCTATAACCTATGCATAACTGATTGGTTGAAACAAAATCTTGATTTTTATTTTCTGAATCTGAAATTTGCAACTCTGAATAGACATCAGGCTTCTGCAGTTCATTGACGTTTTTCATCAAAAGTAAAGCCAGAAACACCAAAATGAAGGAAGACTGATAGTATGCCCCAGAAAATCGTAGGCAAGGCAAGATATAGACAAAGTCTGTGAAGATATAGACGAAGTCTGAGTGGAGCCCTCAAAGACCACTGACCTGCTGGGGAAAAACTTGGAAGAATTCTTGCTAAGGTCCTGAACACCCAGCTGGGATTCCTCTAGGCTACAGGTCTTCCTGGGTTCAAACACCTTCTTACTTTTGCTCTTCTTGAGCTTCCCGCCATCCACAGTGGAGCTGTAAAGAAATAAACACACGTCCATCTTGTCATCGTACACAGGATGGCCAGTTAATCCATGTCAGGGAGGACACTTTGAGCTAGGTCAGGATGTCTAAACTACCTTTTCAAAAAAGCACCTGGATTTTACTTAAGGACTGAATTCTTGCTGTTGCTGATTGGTTAGTCTCCTATGATCATGCATGTATTACCTAATGTCAGTTAATGCGAAACAGCTGGATGAGTCTTTTGAACAAGGAAACAAACCAGTCAAACTGAAATATTTATCCAAGCATGGTAGCCTTTCAGTTTTAAACAGAGCTGGAAGTTCAGCCAGACAGTACAAATCCAGACCAGAGATTTTGTTTTAACTAACCAGTTGAGTACTCTGTGAATGTGACTCTTTAAACTCGACTGGTTGGTTGTAACAAAAGCTTCGTCTAGATTTGTACATTCTGGACCTGAACTTTCCACCACTATTAAAGTAGCTTGTAGCCCTGAAGGAGCGAGTGACCTCCCGGACATGGATTATCTGGTGACCCTAATCATACACCTTGTCATAGCTTCTGTGCCCTTCGCATTCAAAGGACACTTTTACAGCGCACCAGGTCCCGTATATTTGGTACAGCACTGTCAGCACTTTCCCTTTTCCATTGACCATGCACTATAATGCCCCTACAGTCTGAAGGTACGAAAAAATCTGATCTCAATGTAGTTGACTAGTGATGTAGCTGAAGAATTGTACGTACATAACATGCAATGTTTTAATATTGCTCATTGTCCGGCCATATAATACACTAGAGCCATTTTTTTAATTCAATACTTGGCCTTGTGTTGTGATGTCATTCAGCGCCGGTACCAGTTTTTATGGGGTGGAAAACCAATACCTTGAAGTACAAAAAGTATGGTACCTATAGTGTGGGACAAAAGCGCCCTTATTCTACTCAGAGCTCTGGACCTCTGTACAGGTGGGAGGAGCTTTAGAGCTGGACCATACATCAGCCATCTCATGGTAAATGAACCAATAATACTGCTGGCATATCAATAAGTGCAGCCAATGAAAGTGAAGGACCGGCTGATCCCTTCATCCTTCTTCACTGTCCTTTACTGTTGAAGCCGCTGCAACTCACGACCTTCGATTGCACACCATCTCGCTGTCCTCTTGAGTCAGAGTGGGAACTCCTTGTCGGCATGGACAACCTGGCACTTCGAGCTGATGTTTCCCCTCACATGTCTCATCCTAGCACCGTGGAACCGTGCCCAGAATCAGGACTCTGGAGACGTCAGGTTAACTCCGCGAGCGGTTTGCCAACGTCATCGCCTTCAGATCATAGTAGATGCGTGCTTGTTAGGGGCCGTGTAATGAATGAGAAGGGTCTAGAGGGCAGCTAGGGTTACACTAGAGCTGAACAAGCGATAAGCCAAAACCCAAAAAGAGAACAGGAGAAGTGGCTGTAATGCGAGTGTGTCGTAAAGCCGCCCCCTTTCCGGTAACAGGAAAGAAAGAGAGTTCTTTAAACAGCTAAAACTCCACATTTATCTTTAGTCCTTGTTTAAAAGGGAATATTTATAGACTCTTATCATCTCAAGTAGTCGCATTATCATTAGTAGTTATATATTAAATATGTCTTGTTGGTGAAGCCACATAATTACTTCAAAATCCAACAGATAGCTTTAAAATTTTTTTTTACAATTTTTATAAACTGAGAAAAAGAAATAAACAGACCATGCCAAGATAAATGTTTTCGCATATATTTCTCTCACCAGAAAGAAAAGCCATCACATGTGCATGCACACGCATGTTAGGAATTTTGTCGCACCTGGTAGGCCTACCTCCACCTTGCTCACCTGAAGACACGCTGTCCTTTACCCGACCAAAAACCTACGGCAGCAGACATCCTCATTTCACATCGGATCAGAGAAGCTCGTGTATTTTTCTCTTCAGCTACAGGCCTTCAACTTCATGTTCAGAAGCGACCAGACTGGGCACTACCGTTTGGTCCTGACCCGAGACAAGTGTGAATCAATATGCTGCAGGAATGCCAGGGTGGATCAGAATCAAAAAGCTTGACCTGGTGACCAACTCTTTCTGGACTCCCCCCCCCCAAAAAAAAATCAGCTTCCAGGTATCGGTCTCTGCAGGGAGTGAGCGTGAGGTGAGATAGAACAGGATTTCACATCACCTACCGCTGTGACATAACGCCACCCTCCCAGCAGGAGTGGTTGGCTCGACACCTTTTGTATTCATTGTGAAACTCTCGAGTGTTGACATGCACAACAGGCTCCTCCCTGCTATCCACTGCGGGCCAAACAGTGTGAGTCATTTCTGACACAGTGCAATGACGCCTGTGGCCGCTCAGCAACACTGCAGAGGGTGATGGTAAGTGTAGTCCAATGTCATCAGTTTCTGGTTACGTTTGCTGAGCACTGAAATACATTTCCCATCATGCCTCTTGATTTCCAGCTTCTCCAGGGCCCATTAGCTTTGAAGGGAGAGGCGATGGGGGCGGGGGGGAAGTTACCTGAGCTCAGCAGAGCTAGACTAAAGGATCCGGATTGACTGGATCTACCAGCCTGCTTCTGGCTGGTGGGCGGAGCTGAAGCGCCTCACGTGTAAACGGTTGACAGAACAAAAACAAAACATTGATGCTGGATGGGGCCACGTACCGTCATGTGCTACTTCCTAGTCACTTAGAAACTTAAGGGACCTGAGTGATTTAATCTTTTCCTATACAGTGGCATCACAAACAAAGCATACATAGCATGCAAATAATCTGCTTTTCTTCTTTATTCTGGACTGAACAAAAATATATATAATCCCTCCATTCATCTAAAAAATGTTATGTAAGCCTACCAGGTGTGAGACTATGATTAAATATTTAAAAATGGGCACACCCCTTTGCCTTAAAAATGAAAGGAATTATTTTCCAGGAGAGGAAATGAGGAAGGGAAACATGTGACCACAGTTCCATGAATCCCCGAATGCTTTGAAAGTGTGATCTCAGTCTGCTGGTGCCACTTTCTGTGGAACATATGCAAACTAACCTGCTCTCTTTCCTACCAAAGCAAATCAGTGAATCAGACTGGGTGAGAAAGGATAACAAGAGGCATGACCTTTCCTCTCTACTAATAACCTCTCTTTTAACCGAGGAAAAAATTTCCAAAACACACGCAGTCCACAGGATACATCATCAAGAAGATTTCTGTGGATGTAGTGAGTTTCGGAAATTTAACAGACGCTTTTCTTTGGATTACATGAGAACTGGGTGAATTGTGATTCCCAGTACAGTAACATGATGAGGAAGTCTGACTTTAGGTCATTGGTGGTCTCATCTCAAAAGCAACAAAAAATAGAGTGAGTGAGTTTTGGCAATTTGCAACCTGTGTGTCTGTCTGTCATTGCTGAATGGTGACAAACTGGATTGAATTTAATTCTAAGCAGTAAAGACCGGTCAAAAAATCATGATTATATAACAAACAAAGCACATTTTATCGGACTGATATTGTTGTTTAATTAAAATCATTAATAATACAAGTGACGCTAATTTAGATAATGTGACTAAACTGGAGAGGTGACCTGGATTTGTCCGGGTTGTCGGGCAATCATGGCCGTGCGGAGCTACTTACAAATTACTGTCCAAGGAGAATTTCCTGCAGATGACCCTCTGCTGACTCATGGCGCTCTTCCGTAACCGTGCAAAGTTTCCCTCTCCTCTCAATGCCTGTGTGTCTGTGCACTTCATTCACCTCCTTAAGAACTTTGAGGTTGTTGGCTGGAGGTTACAGAGGTGGAGACCCGCCCAGAGTTCCATCAGTTGTCCGTCAGGTTGCCACGTCGAGTTCCACCCTGGACCTCCACCCTGTGTTAGCAGGTTTCCAGCCCAGTGATGGAACTCCTGGGTGCGCTAACTCCTGATAAATGCTTTATCAGATGTGTGTGCCTTGCAAGATCTCCATCTGAAGAATGATATCGCGTTCAAAGTGCTCACTCATCTCGTGTCATGTGATGGCAGGAGGCCCAAAGAGCACTGTACCTGTTTCAAATCCATATTATATTCAATTATTATTTCTCCTTTTTATTTCTTTTCATATCCTTTGTAACAGTTGCACAGTCTATAGAGAGTTCAGGATACATTTCACTGCATGTTGTACCTGTATCACAGAGTGCATGTGACAATTAAAGAATCTTGAACCTTGAAACCAAGGAGAACATGACAGGCTGTGGTGAGCTTGGGAAGTGGCATATGGTAATGTTGGAGGGCATTATTAGGGGTATGACTGGTAACCTGAGCGGGTGATTGGCTGCTGCAGCAACCTTCCTGCTGCATGTAACAATCGATCATTCATTTGAAAGGGAAAAGAAAAATAAATGAAGGGAAAGAGAACATTCAACACAAAAAATTGCAATAACTGAGCCATTAGGTGTTATCTCGCAGTATATATGTGTAGACTGTTAGGGCACATGGAGTATTTTACCAGTAAGAATGGGCATGTTTTGTTGGGGTAGGTATTGGTGTAATGGAAAAGACATGGCAATGATATAGCAAATGTGTACGGGGAGTTAGAAATGAGAAAAAAGAAGGAAAAACTAAGAAAATGAACCAAACTGGTAAGAGAGAGAAAAGGGGAAGAGAAATGAGTGCTGGTCCCCAGTTGGCCAGCCGTTATCTGCAGTATCCTTGCATTTGAATCTTTAACCTTGACCGACTCCCCAAGGCAATCTCGAGTGTGCTGACTAGGCATCGTTTTCTCTCGAGTTGAACATTTCTCTGAAGAAGCACTCGGCCTGGTCCGTATGCCGGCCCCATTCCCTGTCTGGTTAACAAAAAGCTGCGCACCACACTTCAGTGGTCTGGTTTGTTCTTCTGAACTTGTTGTGTCCTGCAGTTAGCTTGTGGTTGACTGTCACCTGAAACCACAGCATACCAGCCCAGTCAATGCAACACCTTCCCTTCCATAATTAACACCTTTAATGTTTCTTCTGGGCTCATAATTCCAGGAACCTGCAGATGGGTGTTCTGGTTAATTCTAGTGTCAGGTTGTTCAATGAGGACCCCTCTTGTTGTGGGCAGTGTGGCAGTAGATCATGCCAGCAGTGACATCTCAGAGTGTCACGTAACGCAAAGTGCAGGACTGAAGAACTATATCATAAGGAAACAGGGACACAAGGCAGTACAGGAGAGCAGCTTCCTGTAATTTACACTATGAAAATGTTTTAAAAGTGCCATGTTGCTCACTGTCATTTTCCAATGAAAAAAAAAAACATTGCAGACAGGTAAAGTGGGTCCAGTATGGCGCTCAAATCACAGACATGCATGACCAGGCCGTTAAAATCAGGTCACACCTCAAATTTCTTGAAATATGAAAAGCGACGTGTATCGTGGCTGAAAACTGGTATCTCCGTGTCTCCTAGCAGGTCTGGTGGGTTCATCTCTGCCCCGTCGCCTCTCTTCATGGCTGATTTGGAGCATTGGCCCTGCCTCTCCAAGTTCCGCCATCTTGGTCCTCATGCTCTTTATGCATATAGGCCACATGGGGCTGGATGTCCTGCAGAAATGCTGTCTGCCTCCGGAAGAGCTCCCGAAAAGGAGGGGGGGAGGGTAGGGTGATAACGATAAAAGTTGTTGACAAGGGGGGGGGGGGGGTCCCTGGATCCGAGAAACATCATCTGCTGTGTCCCCTTTTGTATCATAAATAAACTGAGGAATTTGCTTAAGTTATCACTTAGTCACAGTGCAGGATTGTCAGAGGAACATAAGCCCACTTTTGTTGGGAATGCAAAACCACCACTGTTGACCCCAGTGAAACCACTGATGTGAGATACTGGTTCAGCTTATTTTTCTCCTGTTCTTGAATGTACAGTCATTCCTAGTGGGTGAATTATGACAAAATGCTATTTTTAAAAACAGACGTGGTATTTCAAAACATGACCTACACAGTTTTCCCCCACGGACACAGATGAGTCTCCATGTGTGGACCAGGTTGGCAATCCCTCATTCCCAGGACTCCCCCACTGCGGAGGGTTTTTACACCAGCACGTGTCACCCACCCGCTTCTAGTCACTCCTCGTTCTGAGTGATGTGACACACTTAGACGATGGTGTTAGTCTGATGTTCGCTCATGATGAAATACTCAGCACATACCCCACATCTCACACAGGGGTGATGTGTGGTTAGGATGCTGTGTCAGATACCAGAAGGGTGCCAGTTATTAAACTGATTTCACCAGTGGGCCCTGGAGTAAAACCCTTAATGCCCAATTGGTCCAGTGTCTAACCCTGCCTTTTCAAATGAGTGTCACTTTGGATGAACAACCGAATGAATAATGTAAACTTAACAACCAGCCGATGTAATAAAGGGTCTGTGTCACTTTTAAAAGAAGGATCCCAGGACTTAAAGTCATTCAAAGGCAAGATGTGCTATAACCAACAGGCCCAGCAGGTTACAGGATCACGTTACAGTAGCAGGGGGTTGCTGGTTCGAGTTCTGCCTCCACCATTCCTGTGCTGTTTGTTCATGGTATCACGGGAAAACTGAGCCTCTTCTGTGTGTCATGAAATCAGGTGGAAAAATAATGATAATAGTAGTGTTCTTAATTAAGATATGGCTGCTGACAGCTTTCAGAGAGCGAGCGGGAAGATATGACACAGCACACAGTGAGCAAAAGTGGTGAGCGGGACACTTAAAACGTACTCGCTGCTCAGAAACGGGTTCCTGCTCTTTCAGATGGACACAAGGTGTGTGCTTACCGCAGTTGTGTGAACTAATTTTAAGTGTTTCCATATGTATTCTCACAAACTATATCTATCTTTGAGAAGTTCCATGCAGTACGTCCCATAACACCGACACACCTTACAACAGAGTCTAGGTGCACTCCTGTAAATCGCTTGTAGTAAATATGATGTATGTGGGACAGGACTAACCTAACCCTAACCCTAACCCTAATCTAACCTCACCGGATGTGCCCGCTTGTTATTCCCCTTGCCAACCACTTACAGTCATCTTTACTGTACTTCTCTGAAGGCTGATTATAAGTGAAAATTCATACACTGTAATAGTCAGTTAAATGCATGACAGTAACCTGATCGCCTAACTAATGGTCTGTGACAGCGACTGTGAAAATGTCAGGAAGGTACAGTGTCACAGTAATGGGCAACAAAGGAAACGCCCAACCGAATTCA